AATGCTTGATGTTTTCTTTTTTCTTTTTTGTGTTTTCTTTTGTGTGTATGTCTGTGTGTGGTTTTGTTTTTCCAAACCTTGAACACTAAAAGAATGGCATTAAAAAAAATCTCAAAGGCTGGTGTGACATCTATTGTAATGTAGGCACTGCTCACACTAACAATAAATTTGTATGCATCTTACCATTATAAAATGTCTTCTTCTTGTTAGTGAATCTTGATTGTTTTTGAATTAATAAGATAATTCAGTATTAAGAAAAGGTGGCATCATATGACCTTAGAATTTGTAATATGTAATTTGTTCAAACTAAAACTTCATTAACCTTAAATCCTGGTTCAGATTCCACTGAAATTTTAAAAAGTTACCAATTTTACAATATATAACATTTGGTATTTTTTTTTGCAATGGGTATGTATATATATAAAATATTCTTCGAGATTTGATACTTTAAATGTTTATATATATATATATATATATATCTTTGAATCATATTTCTAATTCTAAGATTTATAAAATATGTATTTTTATCATTTTTGTCAACACTGTCAACTTTGTTATAAATGTGTTATGTCTTTTCATATCACCATCATCATCATTATTATTATTATTATTTGATAATTTATGTTCTAAAATAACCAATGGAATGATTAATATCCATAACTTATTCTGCAATATTTTAAAACTTTATACAAGACAAAGCAACGTGGTAATTTTAAAAAATTAAAAGATAATTATTATTTTACAATTTTGAGCTAGTAGTTAGTTGTTTGCACGTATAGAAATTTAAATTGAAAATAAAAAAATTACGAAATCTAATATACTTTTAACTTTTTATTCAGTGACTAACATTATAAACACTATAAATTAATGCAATAAAAATTATACACTAAAATTACAGACTAAAATCATACAATAAAAATTCATGTATTATTATTATTTTTATTTTAATAATTTATAATAATTAAACATTTGATCATAGAAATCATGATTTATTTACTTATTTTCAAAAAATATATATATATATATATATACATATCTTCCTTTTTTAGTCATAAACCATTTCACATAATTTGTATTACCAAATTAAGCTTTTAAATACATTTTTAGCTACCTTTATTCCTAAAATTAAAGTAATTTTTATTACAAGAATGCAGTTTCTATATTTCATTTGTATATGTTTATTCAATATTTAACTTAAATTATAAATTTTATTTTTAAATATTTTATTTATTCTAGAAGTTAGACACGACTAGTATGGGCCTATTCCTTGCATAGAGCTCAAATAAAACTAGTTTGAGTTCTTTCTAGTATCAAATTTAATTTAATTCGAGTACAAAAAAAAAATTAAAATTAAAATTAAAAATACAACCACAATTACATATGTGGTATTTCCATATATTATCTTTAAATGTTATAGTTGGAGTACCCTCAGTTGTACTCAAATATTGAGCCAAGGTAATAGTGTCCAAGTCCACTTTAATTTGGTACTCCTAAAAATCTTCATTTCACATTATTTGGTAAAAAAAACTATTATAAAATAAAATGTTGTTCTAATAATTTATACAAAATAATTGAAATTATGCTCTAATTATTATATATTTCTTGTTATAAAATATTTCTTCTAGGTACTTAAAAAAAATCGTGATTAATAACATATAGATGTTGGATTGTGCATACTTACTATGGTGGCATTTGTTTCAAGCACATCAAAGTTTGTTGCAATAATTTGTACTTAAAATAAAATTGTTCACTAATTATTGGATACATATTAGAGATACTACACAAATCATTCTTGTACATACTTTTGACAACATGTGCCAAATTTTAAAAGAAGGAAGAATTCTAAATGTTAAATACTTTATTTTATAAGTTCTAATTCATAACTTGTGTGAGAACTTTGGAATTCAAAATGTTTGATATTTTAGAATAGAATGCTCCTTTACTTTTCTCTTCTTTAATTAGGTTTCTAAAAAAACATTATTAAATGCATTACATAGGTTGTAGTCAAGGAAGACAATACTTGAATTATACAAAATATCATCTTATAATTTTTACTATCTATAATGTATCAAATGATATTTATTTCTTTGTCTTATCAATCATTAATTAATTTTTTTTAAATCAAGTATTTTTTCTAGTAGAAGATGAATTAAGCTTTTCAATAATGTCTAATTTTATGTCTTGATTTTTACACTTCAAAATGCACAAAAATGATGATTTATAATATTAGAAAATATTAGAATGTCTAAATAGGATGTATTATCCTTTGTTGGCATTCTTTGTCTGTCTTGTGAATAAAAAACACTTATTATGAAAAAACCATTATTTTTAGTAATCAAAGTAATATACACATTATAAAAGTTTTATTATATATTTTCTTTGCTAATTATTTTGAGATTTTTTCTATTAAAAAATATTATTTTTGCTTAATTTTTTAGAATTTTAATTTGTATTGTGAATATTGATTTATCTTCCAAAAATATTCAACAAAAAAAAGTTATTTATTAACTATTATACTTAAATTTTAGAAATAAAGAAACTTTTCAATTATTAAAATTAAAACTGATATATATATATATATATATATATATATATATAATCCTTTATTAATATCAAAAAAATTACTTCAAAACAAAAAACTATTCTATGTACTACTAGATTATATGCAATAAAAAAAAATACATTTTTGTTGATATTTTAGAAAGTATTAAAAATGCAAGGATGTTGTAGTTTTATAGTTTGCATGTACATGTTATAACTTAAAATAAAGTATTCAATGAAATATTTTTATAACATATATCTATTCCTATTTAATAGATAATATGAGATATTCTTTGTATCCATAATTAAGAACTTTTTATCATTACTTTTTAAATAGTTTTTGTTTTGTGAGTGAATAATTATTCTACTACAAATCTTGAAACAAAAGAATGTGTAATTAGGAGGATATTTAGAATTCCAAATAATAGTATTCTATGAATTGAAATACATTTATAAATATTTATGACACCTTTTTATTAAACATAGTTGTTTATTGTATTAGTTGTATTATCTATTGAAGAAATAATTCATTAACTAGGTAGAATTTTTTTTGTAGGTATTGCAATAAGAAGACATAGTTATTTACTATATTAATAATCTAGATAAAAAGCCATTTTATATAGGTTATTTAGCAATTAATCTAATACAAGAAATAAAAAGTATCAAAAGCTAGAAAAACATTTGTCCCAACAATAAAGGGTTATTTAAGTCAAACAAGGTGAATATGGTTCTTTTAAGGTTAGTATGAAGCTTATTATTATTTTTTAAATCATACAAAATACATATTAATAATGTCCAACCTTAGTTATAAGACAAGTTGTCCATTATAAGGTAAAAATTAGGTAGTTTGTAATATTAATTGTATAATTTTTTTTTTATGTTATTACTTTTGTTTTTTTTTTTTTTATACTTTTAATGGAAAAAAATTTAAATGTATGTTATGGATATACATATTTATTCTAATAATTACCTATATAGTTAAGTAGAAGTAGGTAAAAGTAGATTAATTTCATAATATCTTCTAGAGAAGCTTCTTCAAAGCTTTATATATATGGCTTTGACTTTATATGTATTTGAAGTTGATTAGTAGGTTAAAAACTCGATCAATAAATTAATCATGTGTCACACATATTGGTAGCTTGTAGAACAAGTTAACTATGTGGTGTATCTATAAAAAACTTGCCTTGCAAGTGAAAGCATGTATCTTATAAAGTCAATATGTGTTGGAGGTCCTATAATACATCGCCATATAGCTCCTACTTAGATAGTATATTTGGAGGTAAGAGTGAGGCCTTCTTCATTCTTGTCAATGCTTTTCTAATCCTTAGTCTTGTTTCAAGATTTTCTAGTCATTTTGTCTTTAACAACAATCATTTTAATTTAATATTACATTATTTTTGAATGATTATCTAGTCTTTTTGAGTGACATAAGAGTGTCTTGATCTTTTAGTTCTTAAAGATTCATGTCCTTGACAATGTATTACTCTTCTAAATTATCATTAATAGATTATTTGTTTTCAAATTTTTCAAATATGATAGCATTTAAGTCTAAAGAATCATGTTTTTATTGTTATTTGTCTCATTTTATTAATATGATTCTTTTATTATTACATAAGTTAATTTTTTGTAGAAATAAAATAGAAGTTGGCTTGCATGAGCTTAGATTGGAAAATAGCAAGTGTCACCTTGAAAGATGTGATAGCCAAAGCTAAGTTGCTGATTGTTTGTACTTAGAATTAATATTTGAATAAATTTATTCTTATAATTTCAAAGTTTAAACATCTCTCTCTTATTCATTTGCATGGTTTCAGAAAGATAAATGTTTTTGCACTTGTACTTGATTTCTATGTGATTATTTGATTAAGTAGTTTACTTCTCTCAAAATTTACATTAGCTACTTATTACTTTCTATTATCACATTCATAACAACTTTGTATGCAAAATTGATGTTTTATATGTTTCTTATCCATACTAAAAATACCAATATTTTAAAAAGTTGTGATACAAAATGTTTTTGTCAAGAAGTGGAAGAAAACAATCTCAATGGTTGAACATACTTCACTTAAAATATGTTGGTAGAAAGAAAAGAAAAGAAAAAAAACTGTAAAATAATAATAATAAAATAATAAAATAAACATTATACATGTCTTGTAAATGCACACAAAAATTGATTTGGACATCAAAAGAATGTTTTGACTTGTACAAGTCTACATAGCACCTAATCAAAGACAGATTTATTTCCATGGACTCTATTTATCTCCATCCCCAAGCCCTCAAATTAAATCCTATATAAATATTAGTTATGAAATTATCCCAATTATCTATCAAAATTTAATTACCACACACCCTAATATATTGCTCCAAAGAGCAAAAATCCATGCAAATCAAAAATTTGTACCACTATAGACTACATCAAACATTGTTACTTAACTCTCTGCAATTATGTGTATGACCAAGCCTAAAACCAAGCCAGCTGACTGTGATACAATCTTATTACTACCCAAGTTAGTGAATTCACATTTCTATATCACTTCTAGACCTATTTTTGCTGCTACCAACCTCCACGTGTGGATAGACCATAAGCAGATGAAAATCTATAATACTATTGTGAAGGTGAAAAAGCATCAATACACCATGTGATTGGTGGTAGTAAGTAGATTAATAGTGAGTGACAATAGATCCTAGAATGTTCCATCCAAATTCTGAGATGAAATATTTGTACAATAAGTTGCAATTACGAACTTAACCTCCAGTTATTTGGACATACTTCAGCTATACGACAAAACTTGCACACCAGATTCTCATTCCTCTTTTGGCATCTTCACCCGCTCCTCAGCTTGCAACACATCTTGCTGCATTTTCGCAATGCGGAACAAGAGCCTACAAAAACAAATCAACAACATCAGTTAATTGCTAAGGAGTAAGCCAACCAAACGGGTTTTGATTTTGGCAAAATCTACATCACAGAACCAGGAAACAAACCATGACTAATATTAGAAAATCGATTAAGACTTGGTGCATACGTTCATCTACATTCTATGTCAAGACAATGCAAGGCATAAAACTTAAAAGCAATATTGATGGAATAAAACAACGAAGCAGCGTACATACCAATAAAATAAAGCGGCACTTAGCGCAAGAAGCGCATTGCGATGAGACTTGTACAGCTGCACACTCACACGTGAAGAAAGTTAAAACACAGGTGAACTGGTCCATCAATAAGATAAGATAAAAAATAAAAATAAAAATAAAGCCAACACAACAATATGTATACAAATCGTGTGTAGAATGCCATACATAGACATATCTATCTATCTACCTATCTATCCATCTATATACTTATCATTAATAAATAAGATATAATCCGATAAATAACAGGTTTCGATGCAATTGATTATTACCGATCTTGTGAAACGATCTCTTTCAAAGGGGGAGCACTCCTGCTTGCTGCAGTTGATGCGATTCTCGTACTTCCAATAAACCTCTGCAATAACACCATCAAAGTCTAGGTCAAATACGAGTTCATGATCTGCAATGAAGTAAACTCAACAGATTTTATTCTCGAGAATTCAAAGACTCAATTGACTTAACTAATATTCAATATACCCTTTGCAAAATTGATAAAACTCTTTACAGGAATTTTGGTAGTTTCTCAACATGGAATCAACAAATGAAAACATTAATCTTACGGTGCCACCCAAACAGCAATACTGTGGAATCGAAGTAACTTCGAACCTCGAGAAAATTTAAGAAACTAAACATGATCAACGCAAAAATTTCAAAAGAGGACACAAGGTCTGTTATAACCGTGTGTAGTCAATCTCCCGCACACAGCAACACAACTGAGAAGCATAAAAAGAATTCACGGGTGCTAGTTAATAAGGCAAGGTCAAGACCAAATACCCAACAGCTGGAAGAGTGCAAACGGCACAACAGCCAAACCAGGCTGAAGTATTCTCTTCACAAACTCCAACACTTGTTTAGAAAGCCCACGCGGCAGCGGTGCCGTCAGCAGCAAGAGAACAGCTGCTTCAACAGCAGCAACAACTCCAAGCAAGTACCATTGAAGCGCCATATTGAGAAACTCTTGAGCTGAAACGTAATCTAGCAACTGCAAACACTTGAACAAAAACTCCTCGCAACCAACCCACACAGCACTCCGACAAAACAATCACCGGAATTCAACACCCTGAACACACTACAAGGATGGAAACTTAAATTGAACCCACAAAACAACATCCCTGCAAGCCCTAAATTTCCCTCGAGGAAACGTCGAGAATGACGAAGCGAGTCCCTCTCCCCCAGCGAGCGTGGACCGAGTCAAATCCAGGTGGCACATTCAAGGTCCACGTGGACATCAGCCAGAATGTCGCCCGCCACGTGGGAATCGCTCAACTGGAAAGGAGGTCTCAATTTTGCTGAGTTGGCGATGGAAACGAGAATATTCTTTCGACACATGATGTACATGTTGCACTGACAGTTTGCAAACTTCACCATGGCTCGTTTTGTGTTTTGGCATTCCGTTCCTTGAAAAACATACTTATGATAAATGCTTTTAAGATGCAACATATAGCTCTCTATTGGATGATTGCTGAAATATGTGTTAATGGTTGATAGTAATACTGCGACTAGGCAAGTTTTTAAAATATCTTTGTGAGGTAAAAGCCTCTGCATGTTAGAGTGTAAATTTCATTCCTCATTTTTCTTTTTCTTTTTCTTTTCTAGATGATTATTTCTTTAGTATGTAGAATTTTTGTGGTCAAAAGATTCATGCTACCTAAAAACTTTGAGTACCATACTACAATTCTTACTTTAGAAAGGTCATGTGTATTTTTGCTTTTGGAATTGGTTAACATGATGCTACAGACTCATGTTCAAAGTTTTATTTATTTATTTATTTATTTATTTATTTATTTATCTACTGAATGAATTTGTGCAAACATTTACCCGTAAAGGAAAAGGGAAACATACACAAGAATGCAAAATAAATAAGAATACATAAGAATACAAAATTTGATTTTCAAGTGCTTTAGCAAAAAGTTTTAGAATAAGAACATGTTGTCTTTTGCTGGATGTCAAATATGATCAGTTTATTGTTTTAAATAGATGCACAGACCATTGAAAGTTTTCAAACAAATACAAACAGCATATATATTATTAGAATGTAACCCATCCCAAAACTAAATATTCCCACTTCCATGCCTTCTTTACATTGGTTGTGGATCCAATAGTGGAGAAATGAATCTAGAGGTATTTTTTTTGTTTTTTCGTGATGGTTAGGATGGTTAAGTAAATTCAGTAAAGCTTGGATCTATTTAAAACTACCTTTATTTATTTATACATTTCATAAAATACAATATGAGATATTCCAAGAACCTGAGCCTTAAGCTTGTGAGAAAAATTACAATTTGTGATCCTAGTTTTATTGCATGTGCCACAAATTTACAGACATTAAAAAATTAATTATTTGGTTTTAATGAAAGTGTTGTTTAGTTGAACAATTAACTACTCTTTAGGGGCATGCCTTAATTATTTATTACTGACTTTTGTAATTGTGAGGGTCCTTTTGGCACGTAAGGGTCATTCATCCATGTCCACTGCGGACCAGTTCATGACGGAGCTTGGAACGGAGTTCACTGCGCTGTTCCCTTCTTAGTTCACCGCGCAGTTCAACACGTTGTGTCTTGAGCTTTGTTGCGGCGGAATTTGCAGCTTTCGCGTCGTGGCTCCGAAGCCGCTGGGTTCTTCGGAGATCACCCGCATCAAATTTGCCTCACAGCGCACATGAGTTTTGAAATTTTGTCGTAGATTTCCAGGCGCTGCTGGCGAAGGGGGGTCCTATCTGCGTCGTCGTCTGTCATGACGGTTTCATCGAGCGCTTCGCTCGTCTCGAGCCCGTCATCCGTGAAGATTCGGGACGGGGGTAGGAGGATATTGCCTGTTGGATTTGGTTTGACCAGGGCGTGCATTACCTCAGAAAAATTCGGTAGCTCTGGTAAGGAAGCGGAGACGGATGCCGGCGTTTCGACGATGAGAGCTAGTGAGAGGGGTAGCGGCTACTTGCCCCCACGATTCAGGTCAGCATTATGAGATTTTCTTGGAAAATTTGTGTGTGCGCGCGTGTGCGTGTGTTTGACATGAAACCTCGTTTGAAATTATAGGTGTTATTTTTTATTTTATTTTATTTTATTTCTCTTTTGGAGGAGAGACTTTGGAGGTTTTCACAAAGAAAAGATGCCGTAGTTTGTTATTTAGAGTCTGTAGCGTGATCTGTGAGGTAGTTTAGCGACGATTGAAGCGGAGTTTTATGTTTTGTTTCAAAGTGATAAGTCGCGAGTCTTTATTTGATAATTGTTTGACATATCTGAGGGATTTGTAGAGTTTTTTTGTTTTTAAAATAGTGAGAACAACCTAAAAACTTCATTGTCATTTTAGTTTGATTATTTTTTAAATTATATTTATACATACTTAGTATTATGTTCTCGTATTCGATTGAACCTAGGTTTGGCAAGTTTTGAATGAGTTTGGATTTAGGGTTTAGTCTGGTCGGTTTATTTGTTTTAGGGACATTCTTCTACATTTACTGTATCGTGAAAGCATCAATCAAAATGACTCTGAGGAAATTGGATAAGGAAGCGAGTGATATGAATTTGACTTCTTAACAAATTAAAGTGGACATGCAGTACAGTGTAGCGCCGATGATGGACTGGACGAACAACCATTTCCGGACTATTGCTCGTCTTATGTCCAAGCATGCGTGGCTGTACACTGAGATGGTAGTGGATGACACCATCAACTACCAGCAAGACAATCTTGTAAGCATTCTTTTTTATTAATTATTTTAACAAAATTCTGTCTAGAAATTTCTTGGTTTTGTTTTTTGAACTAGGAATGTGTTAAAAGTATATTTCACCACTTTTTTCTTCACCCTCACATAAATTGTTTTTTATTGTTGTTGTTGTTGGGCAGTTATTGGGATTAAGTGTGTTATTAAATTCATTGTTATTGTGTACCATGCGGAGTTTTCCCGTTAATCTTCTTTTGTGGTTTGTGGGGATTTCAGGATATGATACTTAAGTTCCCTGAATCTCATCATCCCATAGTGCTTCAGTTGGGTGGTTGCAATCCAGAAAAGCTCTTTAGAGCATCTCAACTTGCTAGTTTATATGGATACGACGAAATCAACTTGAAGTAAGCATCTCCCTAGTCTCCTCATGGTACTTTCTTTCCCAAGAGGTCGTCTTTCGAGGGTGGTTTGCGTTGCGATTTAGGATTTCTACCGGCTCTTTATGCCTTTTTGTTGAGTTCTTTGCAGGGTTGGTGATTTGCTCTGGTGGGACATAATTTTTCAATATTATTCTTGACATTAGGTCACATTATTATTCTGGCTTGCAGTTGTGGTTGCCCTAGTGATAATGTCACTGGCCGTAGTTTTGGTGCCGCGCTCATGCTTGAGCCTGAGGTATTATGTTCGCAGTTCGTGTAATTTCATTGATTGTATTTTTAGAAGTAATCTAAGTACTCAACAGAAGTTATTGTTAATTTTTCATTAATTTCTGGAAACTCGTTAGGTTTTTGTAAATAGAGTCTTGTTATCCTCATACAGTGTATCACACCCAGTTTCAAGAAGCGCCCTTTTAGATGGTGTTTGGAATTCTATCATTTCAGGGACTTGCGGATTATTGAGCGCCGCTGATCTCATTGATAGTATCCAAGTTTTGAATTTAGAGATGGAAAATGAACCCAAATAATCTGCGCGTTCAACCTTACGCATGATTGATTTTAGGTGTTTGTCTCTGACGGCTCAGATATTTGTTGTATTTGCAGCTTGTTGGTCAATGCGTGACCGCTATTGCAAAGGGCAGCCCAGGGACTCCTGTTTCTGTGAAATGTCGAATAGGAGTTGACGACTTCGACTCTTACGATTTTCTCCGTATGTGTTTGTTGAATCTTTTGTATGTTTGTCTATTTTGGGTAGAAGCATTGGATTTGGGAAGTGGGAGGAGTGTTCCTCAGCTCAGCATTCGTACATGTTTACCTCTCAGGTTTGAATGGAGCTTGTCTTGGTGTGAGGGCCAACTGCGAGAGTGCTGCTTTAGGGCACTGGCGTAGCTTGATGTCATTGTGACAGCTGATTATTTGTTAAATGTGGGGTGCATACATGATTTTGGTTGGTTCAGATAACTTTATCAGAATTGTATCATCAACGTCACCTACGAAACACTTCATTATACATGCACGAAAAGCCGTACTCAAGGGCTTGAGTCCGGATGAAAATCGAAGAATACCACCTCTCAAGTGGGTCTTGATTTGTTGGCCTATTTCCAGTTCTGTGTAGCTTCCGACTTGAATCCTATACAACATGAGAGTTTTGACATTTGGATTTTTTTGATTTTTTTTGTTTTTGTTTTTTGTTTTTTGTGTTTTTTTGTTGTGAAACAGATATGATTATGTTTTTGCTTTGATGCGCGACTTTCCGAATCTTAAATTTACATTGAACGGTGGGGTAGTCGGCATTCACCAGGTTGGTCCTTTCAAATCGTAGAGTGTGATGATGGCAGTAAAATATTTCTATCCTCATATCTCGATCGAGCAAATGGTTTGTGTATGTCGTGTATACTAAATGCAAACGAGTTCCTGATGTGCTTGTACCGGAGTTAACTGGTCTTGTAAAATATGTGGCAGGTGAATGAAGCCTTAAATAGAGGAGTCTTCGGAGTTATGCTGGGGCGTACAGCTTACAACAGGTACTTAGTAAGCTTCATGTTCTGCATCATAAAGTTGTGTGAGTTAATATCATATCATAACGAATGTCCATTTACCCGTGAAGGAAACACGCTCTAAGACATGCATTGACTCTGCTGTGCAGTCCCTGGAGTGTCCTTGCCAACGTTGACAGAGTCGTGTATGGGGATATGACACCTGTGTTGACTCGACGTCAGGTATGCCGTTGGAAAGAGTGGAAGAGACGTAGAGAGGATGTCGAATTTGATTTGAGAACAAGCTTGAACTACGTTGAGTAAAGATATGCAAATGAATAGGGACTTGTGGAGTATCAGCACCACAATCCAGATTCACTTCCGGCTTATCCCATCGTCTTCCAGTCTTGGGAACGCTTTACTTTTTACTTTTTTCTTTTACTTTTATTTTACAATTTTATTTTCTACATTAAGAAACAGTATTATGGTACCTATTTTCTTCACAAAGCCCTCTCAATCCTCGAAATGAAACCCTGTCACTTTCATCTCCTGTTGAAGCACGTAATGTTCATTTAGTGTTGATTTGTGCTGAAAAGTGAACATCAGCCCTGATGCTTTTCGCACAAGTTTAAATGAATGTTAGACTAATCGGAAGCCTTTTGGAGGTTGATTGTCGGTGCAGATTCTGGAGAAATATGTAGTATATGGTGATGCTGAGCTTCATCGGTACGGTTATAAAAAACCTGGTATTAGACAAATTGCACAGGTATATCTATTTCTTCTTGTTCATCAGCTTCGTGCCTGAAACTGAGAATGGTCTTGAATTGTAACTTTTTCAATGAAACATCTGAGTTGTGTGGCACTGATAAAAAGATCGGGAGGGTGGGGCGCCGGTATGGGAAAAACCAGCCTTTGTCAGGCCTATTCTACCGAGAGAAAGGAGTAGGATTGTGGAGGCGGGCTCTGGACGAGTATATTCGAAGCTCCCAGGTAAGTTGATGATACTTCAGATGCATCCATCGTTCGATTAATGACGTATTGATACATGACAAGTTTACAGTTTGCTGGATCAGTAGTTTTCTGCAATTTACTAATACCTATGATTGTGTGGTATTTATTCTACAGACTCTGCATGCACTTTTAAGAGATACGCTTCGTGTGATACCTGATTCTGTACTTGATGATTCACCAAAACTTGAAGAATCTGCAGTGTCATTATTTGCTGACTTATCTGCACTCCCATCTGCACACCCATTTGGTTCTTCCCGAACTCTCCAGCCTCCACAACAGTCACTTGAAGACCATAGTACCGTTCAGTTCTTAGGTGTAGATCTAAAGCAGAAAAAACACACGCAGTAGGGCTTTGAAAAACTACTTTTAACTTGAAACGTCTGCCCTTGCTGATTTCTTTTGTGTAATCAGGTCACCATTTCCTAAGTTAAAAAAAGAAAAGTAGAGAAAGTACCCAAAAAGGTCTTTCATTCTGTACCAATTACTAGACACAAACTAAAGATCAATGTCTGTAGCAGCTGACACTGTAACCGATTATGAACTGTAGATGAATTTGGTGCTCAGTAGAATTGTGAGAATTGAATTTGGTGGTGGATGTTGAAGATAGATGGGTATTGAATGCAATTGGATTTTTGAGCTTGTGCAGCATTCCATTGATGTTCGAATAGAAGAATAACATGACCGATAGTGGGGTAAGAGAATGTGATACTCCAATGTGGCTGGCCAGTAATCAGTGATTGACTCGATCCAGCAAAAGTACACTCAAACCCTCCCTTGCATTGTTCAACACAGTCTCTGCAATTTTCATTCTCACTACGCCCGTCCTCTCATCCTGGCTCACCCTCCATATCTGGATACGTTATCCCTGCCAGTTGTGCTGAGTATCCATCGGAATCTACACACACCAGTTATCGAAAACGGATGTGCTCCCGAGAACGAGTAAGGCAAACGAATGTGAACGATGCCTACCTCGCCAAATGACGGCATTGGCGACTGCCTTCAATCTCATGTGGGTGTGGGTGATGGTGATCTACGGAGCCAACCTGAGAGTGCTTCAGGTGGCCGCCGTTGCTCGCAGACCCGAAGTGCAGGTGGTACTCGACGCCGCAAACACGAAGCCCAGGGTGGACGAAAGCTCCAACCAACTGGGTGCTCAACAAGATCATGAACAGGGGTGACATCTACGGCGTCACCACCGGATTCAAAGCCACCTCGCAGTGCGGCACGCAGCAGGGAGTGGAGTTCCAGCTCGAGCTCATCCGCTTCCTCAACGCGGGCGTGATCGGGAAGGCCAACTCCTTGCACGCGCAAACCACCCGCGCGGCCATGGTGGTCCGCACCAACATGCTGATGCAGGTCCTCCAGGTCATGATGCTCTTGGGCGAGGTTCTGTCGGCGGTGTTCTGCGAGGTTATGCAGAAACAACTCGGGGACCCTCTCGCTCACAATCTGAAGCACCACCCGAGGCCGCGGCCATCAGGGAGTCGGTGCTGGACGAAGATTTTCGACGGACAACGTGGACAGGATTTCGTGCGCTAACGAACGAACGACGGACGGGAAACACCGACTAAATGGAAGAAAGCGGGACGATAGACTGTGTGCCAAGAGTGGACTGCTGGGACAGGGGAGAAACCCTAGGCCTGCTCAATGGCTTCGAAATCGGATCGGAGGACGACAAGATCGGTTGCTGCCCGCGCGCAATTTCATGGCCATTGCTGCCGAAGGATTGTTTCTCCAACGTAGAAAATTTGGAGGAGAAATCGCGTTTGATTGAGTTGATTTTGTGAGTGCATGGGGTTTGGGCGCCATGCATACGCCTCCGTCTTTACTGCACCTGTGCCAGCGCGTTTTGGCCAATTTTCTGAATTCTGGTACGTGTTATGGATTGTGGTGTTTTGCATTCCTGCAGAGGGAGACGGTACGAGAGCTCTATGCCGTGATTGAAATATTCTGAATCGGTTTGATAGGATTTTGCTGGCTTTGATTGCTAATGTGCTTGTGTGCTAGCATTGCAGATTTGGATTACTGGAAGGTCTTTAAGGATTTACCACCGGATGTTATCAATGGCATTCTACTTCATCTTCCACCTATTACACTATATGCTCTCAACAGAGAATTTCTACTGTATTCAAGGCGAGACGAGTAGACTCACGTTGTGTACTGCCATATTGTTTGTGCGGATGTTCCAAGGATGCGCAATTCGTGTGGGATAGTAGTTCGTCATGAGTCATGGTGGTAGGCTTTGACTGAGTACGTTGATCTGGAAATTGAATGGACTTCATTGTTTGCTTTTAGATTTTGAATTGCGACTTCAAGAAGTTTTCGGTTTTTGTATGCCGTGGGTTGATATTAGTATGTTTGTGTTGTGACAGAGAATGGAGGGATAGCGAACTTGCATGCACTGCTGAGTTATCATCTGAGATTGGCAGGGAACATACGGAGATTGTTGGAGAGGAGGGAAGTAGCGATTCTAGTTCAAACAGGAGTGCACGGTTGTGCAGAAGGAAAAGGGGTCATAATGGGTCTTCTAGACCGCTGGATTTTTCAGCTCTGAAACTGGGCATGTCTGCAGCTTGGAAATCCCTGTACATTAAGCGTTGGCCTACATGTGCTGATCGTTATCATGGAGCAGTAGATTGGCAACAGCTCTATTGGGAAACACACTTGCAGTGGTCAGTCTCACAAATCAATGTGCTTATTGTTGGTAAATTCGCTTTACTGATATAGGCAACCTGGATGATGTTACTTGTTGTTCAATCAGAACCTCTATGAAGAAATTAATTTCATCGTACCTCTTACTGGTAATCGTAGCTTGTTAATTGACATATCGTTTCTGGTTGAACGTCCGCAGTTGTTTGAATGCAGCGTCTGAAGAACCGTCAATTTCTACTCTGGACTGTCAAATTGGCGACATCGTGATGCCAAGTAATCTGTTTGTAACTTATATGTTCTTCTTTGAATCATTTCTTGCTTTTAAAATGATGCAAGACACACTACGAAGGATGCTAACCTCGCTTTTAACGCATTCTCTGTTACATGACATAAACTCATGCCACTCCATCTTCACCTTTGCAATCAAGGATTCCTTCGAATATCTTTCTTGTGAAATGTTTATTATTCTTATTTTCATTGTTTTGTTGTTGTAGATGACGTGCTGAAGAATTTGAATAGTGAGATTATTGGAAATGAAGAGTCCACTTTCTCCACATTGCGTGCAAACTGTGTCTATTTTGGTTGCTTTGTCAGGTAGCTCTCTTAACATAACATCCAGTCAAATTAATCATTGTTCGGATCTCTCTCTCTCGTTATATATATATATATATATATATATATATATATATATATATATATATAACATTAAACTGAAAGAATTAATAGAATTTTTACGGACATGTATCGATCCTTTTGACGGCTATCTGTCAGGCTTTGACACTTCTTTTGTATCATGCAGAAAACTGCGGCTTTACAGCATACTGTGTTCTCCCAAGCTTGTGGTAAGTGGCAACGTGTAGCAGAATTTTCGGGATGCTGCTGATTTCATTTGCGCGTAATATGAAGTAGTATCTTTAGTCTGACAAATTTTGCTGCTTCAACAGCATATAGTTTGCTTATGAAATCCTGAAACTAATGGGCGTTTTAGTTTATTCTTAGTTTTTGTACTAATTTCAAGGCGTTTGAAGCTTTATGCAAGTTCTTGTAGCTGGAAATTTAGATATATTATATCGTGAAGCGTTGGGATTTTGGTTTACCTATGAAGCTTGAGTTGTAGCAATGCAATAAAATTTTCATACTACAGTTGATTATGGCTCACTGATTGTCTGTGCGTTCTTAGATACTTCTCAAACATGCTCGTCTACATTCGGTCACATTTTGCAACGTTCGAATTAAATCAGAGGTTAGTTATTACCTCGTATGATAGATTTTCTGGGGTGTTCAATTTCAAATCTTACTGCATTCGTTCCAATTTCGTGATCTATGCGGTCTTTACAACACCTGTGCATCAACACATGGACTATTACGGCAGCTTTGGTTGGTTGCAGGTCATGAAATTGTATTTGATACACATTGTACATGATTAATGTATAAATTTCGAAGGTGAGCTGTTGATAGCTGAATTATTTTTGTTGCCAGCTCACAGGCATCTGTCAGCTGTTGACTGCCAACGCATCAACATTGCGTTCCGTCGAATTTTATCGTTCAAAGTTTTCTGGTGAAACTTTAAATAAGATTGGCAAAGCCATGTGTCCTACAGGCACTCGACATTATATTCAGCACTTCGCATTGATTTCTTCAAGAGTATTTGATCAAGCTAACCTTTTTGCAGTTAATTCATCGACTGATTTTCTTCAGTTTCTAACTGCTGCGAGGCAAGATCTCATTGCTCCTCGTAACTCATTCGAATTAGATTGAAAAGTTGACTTTTAGTTGATGAAATTCTTGTGTGGAACTAATTCGCGTGTATTTTCACAGATCTCTTCGGTCGTTAATCCTCTGTGATAACTCCTTAGAGCAAGAGAATGTTGTTCTTATATTGAAAGTCATATTGCAACATGCAAAAAATATTTGCAGTGTACAGCTGGTAGACAATGAGGTATGAGTTTCAACAACCCGGTCCTGCAATGCGCCTGTATACCCTTGGAATTTGATTTCTTGTACATGTGATATAGCGGTTTCCTGGCCATGAAGAATTGCACGTTGTAATATGGATTCGATGGTTACGTTTCTTCGCCATGTGCATGGAAACAGATGTTTCTCACATATTTTCTACTGACTCTGGGAGCTGGTATGTTAAACTAATATTCAGAATCTTCCTATCTATGTAGCATGTGCGAATTATAATAAAAGATCAGCAATGCTTCATAGTTCAACTTCAATAATTTTTTATATTCATAATTTTTTAAAAACATATGTATTATTCTATATTCCCCCCTTCATACATTTATCATTTTTTCTGTTTTCGTTTGTAGCTTGGAGAAGCGTTCACAAGATCATTTTCAAGCTGTATGACTGCCAACAAGTTAGCTCAATCAGAAACAACGCGTGTGTTCAAGCGGCTCAGTGCGCTTGATTTAAGGTTAGCTTGGTTCTTTTTGAACACCATGCGTTGTCTGGTAAATATGTAATAAATCTATGTTTATTACCTTGGGTAGTATACGTGTAGGGCTTGTGTTACAACCTGAAATGCTGAGAAAGTAAGTGCGGCGTTGTTGATATATGGCGCTTGGATTCACCTTCAGGTCTAATATTTTGGATAGTGAAGCAATTGGAAGCTTGACAAAGTGTTTGACTAAAATGCCATCATTACAGCAACTTGATGTGAGTGACAATCCTTTGGAGGATGCTGGTATCAGGTACAAACAGTAGATCTCTGTTTAACATCACCGAAGTGATTCGTTTGATGAGCTAAGCCTGCAGATAATCGATTGATTTGTTTGACTGAGATGTATTGAAGGTAGGCTTTAATGCTCGAAGTGTGATAAACCTCAATTTCAATGTTTATGCAGACTTTTAGTACCATACATCAGCAATTCTCTTACCGCGCTCAAAGAGTTATCTTTAGCATCTTGTCAAATGACTGCCACCAGTGCAATAGTCATGCTTAATGCGTTGTCCAACTCTCAGACAACACTTCGACGATTATCACTTGCTGGGAACTCTCTTGGAAGGTAGGTCAGTATGGTTTGAAGGCTGCTTCAAAGCAAAATTTAATTTTTCCGAAGTTTTTCTAGGTGTCAAAATTGAATCGCGGGTGCTCACTAAAACTATGCTGCCTAGCTCAACTTAAAAATACAAGTTTTGCGATGCCTTCTTGCAGTACGGTAGTACAAAGTCTCGCACAATTTCTTCGCAAATGCCCATTGGAGAATTTGGATGTCAGTGACATAGATTTGGGTCCAACGGGATGCTCTGATGTACTTAAGGAGACGTTGATAACCAATGGAACGCTTCTTCACATTGATATCAGGTGAGTCTTTTTAGACTTTGTTCTGTTTTTGTCTTTTATGGAGCACCCACGAGTCAAAGTCGAGTGCTTTCTGCCTGCGTTTTAGTTTGAACATTCTGAGACCGTCAAGCTCAATTTTTGTAATGTCAAGCAAGTGTTATACCAATCTAGTTTTTGTAGTTTCGTAATTGCTATGAATTGGAACATATTTCAACATGCTCGTTTGTAATTTTTAGACAATGCGTTACATTGTTTAATGCGAGTGCAGCTTTTAAACCTTCAAGCTTTATTCATGTTACTAGTTTTTTTCGTGCCTTGTACAGCAAAAATCGTATCTGTGGGCTTGGAGCTGTCATGTTGGCTTCCATTATATCTGCTGGAACGAGCAGGTTGACAAGCATTAATGCAAGTGCAAACTTACTTTCGTCAGAATCTATTCAGCATATTGCAAAAAATATACAAAACTCAAAAACATATGTAGAATCTACAGGTAAATCAATTTGTTTTCTCTTTTTGTCAGCGTTTTATCTGCTACTTTCAAGATTTATCAACTTTTAAATTATATAAGTACTGATCGTGTAGGCACATTTAAAAAAATGAACCTATCATGTACATCATTTGCACATAGTGTTCGGGTTCTCACAGGACATATGTGTTGCGCTGAACAGGCCGAAGTATATCCCTCGACCTACGAAACAATCCTGGAAGCTTTCTATGCAAACTAGCAGGTCTACATGGCAGGGTTGGAGCATGCACAGTTCTACTCTCCGATTCTTCTTGCGAAACACACTCTGTGCTTCACGATGATGATCCCTGACCTGATCTGATGCAATAAAACAGTAAGTGCGAAAAGAAAGGATTACATGTGACAAAAGACCGTGTATCCTAGCATAGCCACTGTCCATGTATAAATTAATGATTTGTTCCCCTCATGTCGGTATGTTTGCAGGTGACGACAACACCACCAGTTTCCTCAATAGGACCTACAGACGAACGGCATTAGGACTATTCGCAACAACGAAGGTCGTATTCCCACATCAAGTGTCCGATCCTAACTCCAATGCGGAGATACGGTCTCCTCCCCAATCATCGATGTATTGTTCAACCAAAAACTCAACAACCTCTAGCTTGAACATACATTCTAAAATTCTCTAGAAGATAGAGTATCACATTCTTTTAGCCCAGCATCGTTCATGTAAACCTTCGATTTGAATATCAATGGAATACTGCATAGGCTCAAAAATACGATTCTATCCAAAACCCACCTATATTTATTATCCAATACAAATCCAGTTCTCACAACACTGCCAAGCACCCAATTAGATACCACTAACAGTTCAACTCTCTAAATCAACTACTTTTCAACCTGAATTGTACGAAAAGCAAACTACACTGGATGTTCCAAACATGCATATCAAAATCCGCCGACCAGAACCTTCGACCCAGTACCAAACAGAAAACACGTGCACGCTCCCATCCAATTCACACCTGTAAAAATCGAACATGGATAATCTCCGAAACCATGTCCTGCACAACCAGCATACCCAATATTGTACCTTAGAATTCGTTCAAAACTTATCTTAAAGACTTTTCTGGATTTTACAAACTTTAAGAAGATATATTAGAAAACACTGTAGATGATTATTATTATTATTATTATTTTAATGTTTATTATATTTATTACAATTAAGATATAAAATGACATATTTTAGACTTCATATTTAAAAAAATGATCTGGTCTATTTTTGTCATTTACTTACTTTATAGTATCTTCAAAGGCCAAGCCTTCTTAAAACAAGAATTACAACAAGCAGAAGACCATTACAAGGTATTTGTACTCTTGTCTTTTAAAGTAAGGTTTTAGGTTTAAAAATTCTCTTAGGCTAGCAAGTTGTGGTTGGATTTGGTGAAGGAATTGAAAGGGAAAAGAATCAAACAGAATTCTAAATTATTAGATAGATGGACAATTATCTACATAATATATCTCTATATAATATATATAAGCAATGTGCATATATTTTATATATTTTATATGTTATATATATTAATAGAACCTTGAATTACTATATCTTCAAAAATAATTTAAATTTAATATATTTAACATATTTAACATATTTTTTGAATCTATTTTTATGTATATATACATATATACATACACACACAATTTTTGTGTCAATTCATAGAAATTGGTTTGTTGATTGGTTATACAAAACAATATATATAAAACAATACCCTCATTTAATAAGATGTTAAAATTCTACAAAAGTGTAGATTTTTAAATCTAGAAATCATGACTTACAAAAATATATATCACTAAGACACTAAGAAAATTCAGTAATTTTTTTATAAATAGAAATCACATTATTGTTTTACAACGTTATTTTTCTGTGGCTCAAAAATATATGATATATACATTTTACAAAAAAATATTATACATTGTAGTAGATTTTAAAAAATACATAAATAAATAAACAATAACATAAAAAATGGATTATGAAATGATAGTATGAAGATTATTGTCATTAAAAGAAATCATTTCATCTATACATCACAATTTTTATTCCACAAGGGAAAGATAATATATGTATATAATTGTTTTCAACCATAACTATCAATAAAATAAAATTGTACAATTTGAGTTTTTAGAATGTGTTTGTTTTTAATCTGATCTCATGCACAAACTTATATAGCTTCACAAACTATACAAATCACCACATCAAATGCCAAATTATAAACTCTTCTTCACATCAACTTATACTCGGTCAACACAACCACATCAAAATTGACAAGCACACCTCAGACGCCCTCTATCGCATACAATAAACCTTTGGCCTTGCCCTAAACCTTCAACCACAGATGCAATATATTAAGGAAAGACAAGTTTTCATGCGCATCGGCCAAGTAGAGCTGTTATCACCGTATCGCCTTAAATCATGTCGAGGTCTTACGGTGGAATCCTCCAACACTTGCACTTAGGCTGCGGTCTGCTCAACTCACAACATTAGAACACCACCTCTCTCCCCGGATCAGAGCTGCTCTACACGACACCCTCTGCTAAATAACAAAACCTCCACAAGCGACTGATGTACAGGTACTAGTCGCACAAGCCTTGGTATGAAATCATAGCACGAAAAGTACAGCTTGCGTAGAAGTAATAGAGCACCGAGCATGTGGTGAGGGCGAGGAAAGCCCACCTGGGCATTTGGTGAGGGCGACCAGAGCAAACAGCCCTAGCCCGCGAGTGCTTGGGATTCGGTCACGTTGAAGATGAAATCGGTGTTGATTGGTGGCCTTACCACATCCATAGACAGATGAAAACTTTGCTCAAGAGCATTCTCCAGTAGTGTCGGCTGCTTGCAAGACAATGCACTTGTGAGATGTGAGCTGATGTTTGAACAGTTTTGTATCAATATCATCACGCCACAGATCAAAACGTAATAATAGAATTGAGATAGGTTTCTAACTCAAAAAGCCGGATGCAGCAAGTGTGATGCTTGTGCCAAAATCGAAGGATGAGTTGGTGGCATCAGAGCTTGGTGCTGATGGCAAGAAACTGCGTGTCTTGCTTGCTTGCAAGGTTGGTGAATCCCCTTGCAAACCAGTTTGCATGCCTCCTAAAGGACAAAGCCATTTTGCTTCTTTAATTGTGATTTAGTGCTTTTGCAGGCAAGGAGCCTCATGAAACCTCACTTGTGCATCATATGACTGCCAAAGGTGAGAGCTGTTTCAGTGAGACCTAATGCAATTTTGGTTTGTTGAATGATGTTTCAAATGACCTTTCATCTTTTGATTTGCTGAGTCTAGGCATGGAAACAAGCTTCAAAGTAAAAATCTGCACAGCTCCATGTGTGGAGCCATAACATCCCTTTCTGTCCATAAGGCACTAAGAAAAATCAATCGGTCATGTTGGAAGGCAAGAGCTTCAACATACATTTTCCATATCTGGAAAAGACAAAATGACACATTCTGTAAGTCCAATGCTGTCAATGTGAAAGTCAATATGCAAATCAAACAAAATAATGCAAAAGTACAAAATCACAATTCTATCTAAAACCAACATTTATTTCATCATCCAACATAATATCCAATTCTTACAACTCTACCAAGTACCCATTTGCTACCAAATACACATCACTACTACAATTCATACATTTCAATACTTGCATTAGAACAACCAACATCTCTGGACATTCCAAACACATATGGTGATGTTGGCCAATTAGGAGACCTTCAATCCAGTGGACAACATTAATACCAAGAAATTCACAATTGTCTATGAATTCCAACTTCCAATGTTGGATGATCTTCAAAACTATATTCAACACAACCATTGCTCAATTTCCAAGTATTTTTTTATACACTTCTATTATCCTTTGTGTATTGCTTATAATGCATTTGATTGCATATAGATTAAAGAATGTGGCATTGGTGTAAGTTGAGTCCACTTTTTGGCTTTAAAAAAGAATGTAGTCTATACAATTGTACACTATCACTAAAAACCTCCATGTCTATAGCTATGGCAAATGATTTTAGGATTGCTTCAAGTAACACCATATTCTATGTATTGTTGTCATTGCAACTGGCTTAGCTTTGAACATTCTCCATGGCACCTTTCAACAATTTTGTCTAAATCTGATCTATTTTTTTCATTCAAATGAATCCATGTAGTAGTAGAAGAAATAACCATTGCTCTACAAAGCTCTCCAATCACTTGAATCCAATGGCCAACTATAACCATATAATATGAATAACAATTATATCAAGAACTTTTAGATAATAGCTAATCCAATCCCTTACACTACTTTTCCATCCACCACTTGTCTCCAAATCCTTAGCCATGAGTTCGATCAACACAATTGTAAAAACACCTCAAATACACTAATCCACCCTTGGATGCATTTCAATAGAGGAACTACTAATCTCTCTTATGACATGGCATGAAATATCTTCTTGATTTCTTCACTTAAAGATATATTTTTCAACTTTGATAGCAACTATATTCTTAGCTCTTTGAATACCAACTTGAAGAGTAGATATGACCTTTAATTATGAATCTTTTTATATAGGACTAACTGGCCCTTCTTATTATATGCCCTTTGCACAAGTGCCACCATCTAATTCAACTACTGCTTTACTTCCACTTAGAGTAATAGAATTTGATTGATGACAAACTAAATGTATTATTATAAATATTTGATAGTACATATGGTCTAAACCAACATTTAGAAAATTTTCTTAAAATACTACATTGATTATCTAAGTTACTATTATAGATCAAAATCTAATCACCTTTTTAAATTGACTTAGATTTTAATTGATATTATTTATCAAAACAAGTCTTATTTTATAACCTTTCTCTTTTCAATATTTCTAATGTTATTTGCACATCTTTTAGTCTTTGTTCAAGTTGTTAAAAACTATTGACTAAAAGTTCTTCTCTTCTTAATCCATCAAACTATGGTAGCATATTCCACGTTGATACTTTCTTTTCAATTGGCATAATAGGTATTTGACCTTTTATGAGTTTAATAGATATATATTCCATTAATAAACTATGAATTGTTTGATCAATCTATAATAAAAATAACAAAAGTCAAGGCCATTCTTTCACCCTCTTGTTATAAGCTTTAATTAATGTTTTTATAATTAGTAGATGATCATATTTATTTTTTGTATTTTCTTTTAGATTATAATCAATAGTCAATAATAACTAGATTCCAAACCTTTTCAATAAATCACAAGTTTCTTTTAAATCTAATTCTCCACAATCTGCAATAATATTTTTTATACATCTATAGTAACAAATAATATCTTTAAATAAAAATCTTAAAATTCTTTTAATAGAATTTATTTTTAATGCTCCACCTCCTACTTGGTTCAATAAATCCTAGCAAGCTAAGATAGAATACATTATTAATTATAATCCAATTGGTATAATAAATAAATCAATAATCTATTTTAAATGAATAGCCAAAAGATATGTTAGATGTAAACCATCTTTATGTCATATATTAAAATATGTTTGACAAGTTATACATGATTCTACAAATAAAAAGACATCTTGATATAAATTTTTTACCAATATTATTCTTTAAGTTGAACAAAGGTAATTCAATTCTTCTTATGTCATATCTATAAATTATCATGAAAGTCTTTTAGTAATTAATATTGCTCTTTTTTATTGCCTATTACTTTTTGTAGCATCTCAATTCCTTTCTTTAGTCTCTTCTATAGAAATTCTTCTTAATACAAATATATAT